AGAGAGAGAGAGAGAGAGAGAGAGAGAGAGAGAGAGAGAGAGAGAGACAGCACCACTTCAAGAGACTTTGCATAGAACGCCGCGAGCATGCCAATCAAGCGTCTACCTATCCCCCCTTGCTTTTTCTTCGTCGCGCAGCTTCCGCGGATGCTGCGCATCATTCCGTATTTTCACGGTTTCCGGCCCGTCTCATCTCCAATCAAGCGCCAGACGTACAAATATATATCCGGCTTCGGCTTTCAGTACGTGGCGCGCATCGGGAAGATTCATCCGTGTTTGCGGTTATCTATAGAGAGAGAAAGAGAGAGAGAGGAGGACGCAAGACCCTATCGATACAAGTCGGCCTGCGGCCGCCTTCCAGAAATGTATCGCGGATTTACGCGACCGCTAACGTGGATACATCGCGATCCATGGATCGTGTTATTCTCCATTACAAGCATCTCTATAGATATATACGTTATAAATGTACGTGCCATGGTACAAAACGCCGGTGCAATAATTCAGGGAGGGACACCAGGATGCGACGGGGCGCGACTTGACGCGAACACGGAAAGCCGGTTTTCGAAAAGCGGCAGCGATCCGACGCGACGCCGACGCGACGACGGGAAGCGCTGTTTTTGATGTCGCGTCGATTTAATTAAAATTTTAACTTTCGTCCGCTAAACCGGACGCCGCGCGTCGGTGTGGTCGACGCTCGAGCGCCGAGCGGTTCGGTATTTGCGTTTTCAGCCAAGTGAAATATCGGGTTCGCTATCGTGCGTGCGCGCGCGCGCGCGCGCACACGGGAATTTATCATGCGAGAAAACGCGTTACCGCCAGATTCCGGCTGATCAGGCAAACGAAGGACCACGCATAAATCACTCCTTTGTGACTTTATGGTCGCGATATCACAAAGTGAACTGCGTATTCCTATAAATCGTAATAGCGAAAGCTTCGAATTAAGGGTATATGCATGTTTTAGATAAAAACATTTTTGCGTGGTAGAGGTGTACCGAATTTAAATAGATACGAGTTACACGAGTAAATCTTACTATTTGAACAAAATGAATTAACTTAAATGAATACCTTGCACTAATCTTCTTATTATAATGCTACACGTATTCCTCATGCTGCTTGGAACGTTAGCTACAGAAGTAGCTGGAAAGCACTTTTAGTAATACATGTTGTTATTATAAATTACTGGTATTAATTTAATTTTATTATATAACGCAGAGCTTAGATTTTTCAAATGACTTAATTAAAACAGCGCTCTGGATAAAATATAATGATTTTCTAATGTATACGCGGTAAAAAATAAATAAAATCGTTAAATTGATCAATATTCTATCTCACTCGTCTCTTCAATTGAAGAATTTAATGCAAAATGAGGATGAATTCTTAATTCGCAATGTCAGTCTTATGATTTCGTATTTAAAATGGATCACTAAAGATTACAAATTTATTTCACTCGACCACTGAATCTTTAAATCGCAGGAATAATTTCAATGTTATATATTTCAATATCTGGTCGGCCAAGTTAACCACACGAAGATAACGAACAATACGCAAGAATAAACGACAGACAACAGCGGACAATACGATATACGCGAAAATAATCTGCGGTGTCTAGCTGGAACTTAGTCGGCGAACAATGTTTCGCGGAGAGTTTCGCGAAAGTTTGAAACGGCCAGGCTTCCTTTCCTCTTCAGATCCACGACGAGCGGGCGAGCGTTTATCGTTGTGCGTCCTATAACGTCCACTTCCGGCCACGACAAACTTATCTGGAAGTTTACGCGTTTGCACGAGGCGAACGAGGAAAAGTCGATTGCCCTGGGCTTGGAGAAGTGGAGCGGGAGCAATGAAATGCTCTGAGTTACGATACACCACGCGCAAGCTGCTCCTTCTGTTGTGCCTCGTGTTTTTCAATTTTCGCAATCGCACGGCACCTAGCGAACGTTACCCGTTTGTGCTCCGAACTTCGGGTCATTTTGAAAGAACAATGTCGCTGTATTTACGCTCGACGATATATGTCGCTTTCGATCAATTCAAGTTTGTTCTCTTATTCACAACTCACAACTCGTTACAGTCAGCTGTTTGCAGACAAATTTGCTATGTATACCGAAAAAGATAAGCTCGAGAAAGGTACACATTTGCGATACCATGAACGTCTCTTTTGTTTTTAGCCGATAAAAGTGCCTAAACCTTCATAATTATATTATATAATAAAATAAACCGCTCTAACAACTGTTCTTTTAATTTTTATATAAATGTTGCGATTATACAGGGTGTCATAAGTCACGTCCCATCTCTGAAAAATAAATTAATTTCGTCAAAGTTGACAAAATCAAAATTAAATAGATACAATCAAACTTCTAAAGTATATCCACTTCTAATCTATAGTACTTCTTTAGTATAACTTCTCAACTTATTGTTATCAAAACAATTAAAACTTTTAATTCAAATAAAGATAACAATCCAAATAAATTTTCCGTATATTTAACCATTCTTTATTTTCGACTTATTTTGACTTCGTCAATTCATTCTCCAGAGATGGGGCGTGACACTTTATAAATTAACTTTGATAAAAAGTATTTATCAGCATTGTGATAAGATAAAAATGTAGTGATTGATAGGAGGATTGTGAATAAAATCTCGCTTCATAAACCATTTTCCAGGTGTCATTCCATTTTCTAAAATTAGTAAACTAAAAATTCTAGAGCAAGAAAGTAACATCAAATAATAATAGCAAACCTTTTGATCCTTCTGCCAAATGCACTGCCCTCTCTTCCCGAGGACTCGACACACCAGCTTGGCGTCCTGGCCAGGATTGACCTCGGTGTATTGTGGCGTTTCTTCAAACTGCTGGATTCCATGGCAAACTGCAAGCAATAACGTAACGACAAATAAAAAACTTCACGCATTACAATTATACGTTATATAATAGAAATGTAAACGCTTTGTTGCTTTTTGAAGTGCGCGATTTTTAGCTGGTCTCTGTCTCTAACGTTCATTTTATATTCTTTGCGAAAAAAACAGAAGATTTGTTTTTTTTTCAGTCAACACTTAAGTGAAGAGACAGATGGTAAAGGCAGGATATAAGCACGGTTTAGCCGGGCATTAAGGCAGCCTGCAACCTCGTTAAAGTTGTTATTTAATTCGCAACTTCGCAAACTCATTTAACTCGGTCCGTGCTAAGCTACGATCTTCAGTTTTCACCTTTTAAGTTTGCCGATAAATTGTATTTAGCGCTAATCGAATGACGGCAAACGCGACGGTACTGACTTCGATGCGACGATGCACGCAGACTTGTGTATATACGCGCAGGCATTAATCGCGTCTCGTTAGTTGACGTTAATTATTTCTCCGTCGCTCCGAGTGTTCTCTCTCCAGATAAACTAAATTTAGTGGGTTTAATATCTAAATGTGATTAATCGCGTTAAATTACATAGTTCTGAAATAATAATAAAACTAATGCAAATTGATTACAATCCATCGATTTTCTTGTCGAAAAATCTTGACTATTTGGAAATATAAAATAAAATATTATATCTTGCATTTAATTCTTATATTTAATTCCGAGAATCCAATTAGATTTGTTACACTTTACGCGTATTAATTTAACAATTTCAGAAAGAGCACAGTAATACTTTGAATTGTTTCCATTATGAATCTAAATTTTCAAAGATTAATTATTCTAAATTCGTAATAAAAGAAATTTGTTTAAAAAATTAATTCTGCACTCGGTGTTTTGCAAACATAACTTAAACAATGCTAATTGTAAAGTATAATTTCGCACGAAATTGTTGCCGGGAAAAATTAAATTGTTAAATAGAAAACTAATGTAAACAATTAATAAAAAAATAAACATATCAATTTTATACTCGTTAGACAAAATGTGATACACACGAGAGCATGCGGATGCATTGTCGCTTTGCCGCGCCGGTATACGGTACGTGAAAATTTCAGGATTGCAATGTACGCTTTTTGTCGGATTGCGGCGTTAAAAATTCAATTTTTCACCGTCCCGGAGATGATTAATAAAACGCGCTGCCGCGTCATATGCGGCTCGCGGAAATAACTTTGCAAAATTAACAGTGGGTGTATGGAACTCGCGCGATTCGTCGAGCACTGCAACAGTAGGTATATTTATAAATGCGAAAGAAAAATAGTTTCCTGTTTGATAATGCAGTTGCATTTTATGATATTTCCGTCTCTTACACGATAAATTCAACAAAATTTAAAGTAAAAACATGAAGTATCGATAGATATACAAACATATATACGCACATACATGCACACATTTATATTACATACATAAAATTCCCGATAAATGTTTATTTGTCGGAATTTATTTCACTATATTGATTTAAATTTCTCGCAATGCGATTTGGTTGCGGATAGTCGATAAAAGTCGATAAAAATTTAAAAATTATTTTCTTCACTCTCACTATAAAATTTCAAAACTTTAACATACATTCCAAACGCGCTTTCTTTTGGTTTTTTCGTCTCCGGATCAAATGTCGCGGATCAAACGTCGCGGATCATTTGTCTTTGGGCCACTTGTTACGACACCCGTTAACACCGAAACAGAAGTTCTTCTCATCCGAGTTTAATCGCGAGCACGCCGCGCAATCATCGCGATAGCGCACCGGTCGACCGTTATCGATAAAACGAAGCGGTGGCGGGGGCTGATAAAAGCGACACGATCCCGGAGAAAATGCCGGCGAGAAATAAGGCAAAGCTCGAGGACCCCGGCAACAGGTCCCGTAAAGTAAATTCGAGGCTTGGCGCTTCGCGCGACGCGGCGCACACGCTCCGCGTGTTAATTGTATTTGTACGCCGAGGCGACGAGCTGTACTCCGCGCGCGCCGCGCAAATACACTTGGACCGAAATTGCAGCGCGCTTTCTATCTGCAATAATAATTACGACTGCAGTCTTGAGTAAAGTCAAACAGATACGGACAAATTACCGCGGGCGCGGGTGCGGCGTCGGAAGGAAGATTGGCAAAGGCGAATTCGTCCTGGCGCGCCGTCAAAGTATTATTTTTCGCTGGCGCAGAACGGAATTACAAATAGCAATTTGATCCGGAAGAAGTTCGTAAAGACTTAGAAAAATAAATCACTCTGATAAGAGAGCTATTGTATACTTTCGAGATTTCATTCCGACCTTAAACGCAATACGAGCAGTTTGATTAATTTTTAAATTTAATTAATCAGACTTTTCGTTTGTAATAAAAAGGAACGCGGGCGGAAGAAGGTATTAAAGCGCGGATATATTTTTACGGATAACAAAAGAAAGGATAGAGCGACGCTGAAAAAGATTTATCATAAATTCTTGCAGCGTGTCCGGTATAATGTACTACAACTCCGAACTAACTTCGCTCACGTTGCAGAATACATCTCATTTTTACGGAAATAGAGCACACGCCCGTCGTGTGCGCGCACGGTCTAATAAATTCATTTTTCAAAAATTAAGGTAGGCGGTAGAAACAGATGTAATATGACGTTAAAATACGTAGTTTATGAAATGTATGCCGTGAACGCACGGAAAAAAAACCCTGCGTTTTATTTTAATAACGTACTTTTCGCAATACCACTCTATCTCACTCTGTCTCCGTATTTTGCCAAAGCATTACTCGTGCTTTAATGTAGCAGTTAACGGACGTAGCAACGCGAATTGTTTTATTTATTTTCCTAAATTTTATTTAAAAAATTGCGAGCAACCGAAAGCAACCGAGCAAGCGAAAAGGAGAGTATGCGTGCCTCTTAAAACCGGCGTATCATCGCAGCACGTGTCTACTGTCTGCCTCTCGTTCCAAGGTAAATTCCATCGATTTGACAGAGATTCTCTAGTTCGGCGAACTTTCGGAGCTTTTGGCCCGGCGCGGCGGCTGGCACGAGCGCAAACCTGCCGTGCGCCGCGCGTTCGATTCATTAATTTCGTTTGCAATCCCAGGTCGGCCTTGCGCGCCGATCCTCAAACGCGCGCGCTGCGTCGGAGAGGATAGGGGGACGAAAAAAAAGTTTCGGTGGCGCCGCAAATTTGCTTTGCTCGCACGACCGATATTCGAGAACGCGCGCGAGAGAGAGAGAGAGAGAGAGAAAAAAAAACAGCCGTTCCGCCCGCCAGACAGACCGACGCCGAAGAATCTAAAAAACACGGGCTGCTCTGCTCTTTCCTACATTTCCCGCGTTATTTACTTCGACGCTGATCTACGTCTCGCTAAATAAATAAATCCTAATAGACGAGAGTCGCGGCACGTAAATAAATCCGGCGGATAAATCTTGGGCGATACTTCATTAAAACCGTATTAAATAAGCACTGGTGAATTAAAACCGTATTAATTAAATAACGACCGATCGTCGCGTATCGCCGGCGCGCGCTATTTTATTACGCGGCACGTTCGAATAAAATGGAGAGAGAATACGAGGGACGAGGGATATATGGAAAATTATAATATCAACACGAGCAATCCGAGCGCGGAACTTGGATATTCTCGTTCTCATTATTATTAGACGTCAAAATTAATCCGATGTGAGGACGAAAAGGAACCGGCACGAAGGACATTGATGGAAGCACGGCTCGTCCCGTTTTGCTTCACCGTCTTCGCCGGTGTACGATTACATTTCGTCCAAGTTACACGGACTCGATTAATTAAGCGACTTAAATTACATCGCGTGCGTGCAATGGTATCTGATGCGAAAAACTGCAAATTATTCTTTTTTTTTTTTTAATGCAAACGATGGTTGGCCGGCCAATTACACGGCCGTGTTACATGAAAACCTCGTGAAAAATGCAACGCGCGAAAAATGCGCATGCACGGAAATGCAAATGGTCATTGTTGTCGCCGTCGACCAACATGTTGACGATGCTAAAGTAATCGCGCGGTGTATATAATCAAAAATCTTTCGGATGCGCGCGCGCGCGCTTTCATATATTGATCGTTTTACTCTATACCATTTGTTCGCGATATTGACGTTTAATCGAGATAAAGTTTATTGCCGCTCTGCGGCGTTACATGCAGGCCGCAGCATTTAAATGCGAACCAAAACGTCAAGGATGAAAACGGGCTGTCGAATACCAGATAATGCCCGTGCACACGTCCGACCGTGACATAAATAATACGTCGGAAATTTCCGCGAAAATCGCGTTCGCGGAAGGCGATATCATGCTTCTCGACAGCGCGTGTCCGCGCATCCGTGAAAAAAATAACGAACGCTCCTTGTCTTTTCATCGCGATCCTCTCGCGGGCTCCGACGAGAATGGAAGCATCGATTGCGAGAATATCGATTGCGTCTATTCGTCGCCAATAGAGAAAGTGCGGGGTATTATGGGACATTCCAAGTCTTTTAAGGCAACTCGAAAACTATTAAAGACAACTGACCTCAGTTTTCACTGAGTTATAATGCCGAATGTTGGTTATAACGTGTTCCTAAATTTTGTTTATTTATAGTAAGTGTATAATGTTAGATCAATTTTTTCGAAGATAGATTTTGGAAGGGTAATGTGGAATATGTCGGGTAATACGGAACACCTTATTAATCTTGCAAAAAGTAATTTTTCTCGTATTTTGATGCATATGAATAATCAAATAGAGTCTATAATAACTATTATACTATATATTTATTATATTCTAATTTACATTAACGTATTAACTCTACACCTTGTACTACTCTGCTGCTTTGTACGTTAGATTAGGAGTCCAACAGCTATAGTAATTCCATTGCTCGTGATGTTTCATATTTTCCCACTATCTCACAATATCCGCGGGTATTTTTTGAAGATTCGTCACACGGAAACTGCGAAAATTGGAAACCGGCGTTTAATTACGTGTAGTTCGCGAACATTATCCGGCTATCAGGAATAATCTTTGGCGCA